TCCTACATCTTTCAAGCTAGAGTCTCCAAATTTAAAATGTATATTAAGATGCATTTTATACAATTTGCATTTGCATTTATAAATCCACTCTCTTTCCCTCATCTTTGTAAAAGTCGTATATCAAATACTAGAGACTGTTGCTTCGGTATACACATACACTTCAACATTATGAGCCGCTCAGAGCGGATCGTGTCTGCACAATCTTTTCGGTTATGTTACGAAGAGCATATACGAAAAAACGATCAACTCTCATTTGCGAGCTCTGATGCTGCGGTAAATAAAAATTAAACAATTTGAATATCGAATTAAATGAAAAACATTAAGATTATTGATGATAATTTTCTAAATATATTATAGGTAAAAATGAAAACCAAAATGTTTTTTTTCATTTTATTAAAATAATTTTACAGGGCATAAACTGGTTTGTCATACATTTTTGTATTATATTATGATTCAATTCAATAATTTGTATCTAATAATATGTGCTTTAAGCTGTATGTTAAATATTAGTATAAATCATGTCTAAAGCATTCATGATTAAATTCATAAGTAACAAGTGGGCGGGGAGAAGGCGTGGTCCAATCGTAAAAAATAATTTCGAAATTGTAGCTTAGTTTATTTAAGGTGTATGTAAAATTTAAACTTCCTAGCTCTATTTTTATAATTGATGCCAAAATTTCTGGCTTTTTTCCTATAGTGCATTGATAGTTGCCGTGCTGGTATACAGTAGCTTAGGTCTCCAATGGATTTTTCTTGGTGGACTTGTATTGATATGGCAGGGCCTCTAATATATAAATAAATGATTGCCAATATCTAGTATACAGCTTGAAATTTGCGCATATATCTCCAAGTTACTATTTATAGATTTACTCGACTATATTATTTGCTTTATCACACTTGAATATTTTCTTTGCACACTCTACGTCAATTTAGCGGTAGCAGAAATGGAGGTGTTGGCTCAGAAGATATACTGGCTATGAAGCCCAAAGAGCGTAAGAAGCACGACCGATTTAATGGAATGTCTGAGGCGGAAGTAATTCAGCGTACCATACCCGATCATCTTTGTGATAATCTTGATATTGTCATAGTGAGTTGTAAATTTCGTACTGTCCAGTTGTGCTGGAATATTTTTTAAATGATTTAAAATAGAGTACGACTAAATTGTGGTCTTTTTAATTACCAGGTGGGTATAAATCCCGGCCTGTTCGCTGCTTACAAGGGTCATCATTATGCCGGCCCTGGTAATCATTTCTGGAAATGCCTATACTTATCGGGCCTGACTCAAGAGCAAATGAGTGCCGATGATGACTACACGTTAGTTAAGCATGGCATCGGTTTTACGAACATGGTAGCACGCGCTACCAAAGGCTCTGCGGATCTAACGCGCAAGGAAATTAAGGAGGGTAGCCGTATTTTGCTTGAGAAGCTGCAGCGCTTTCAACCCAAGGTCGCCGTTTTCAATGGCAAATTGATATTTGAGGTCTTCTCTGGAAAAAAGGAATTTCACTTCGGTCGGCAACCTGATAGAGTCGAAGGCACCAATACTGTAAGTATATTCGAATCTAATTTATCCTTTAAGGGTGTCTTTTAGATTTATATCTTGTAGCCTAGATCGTATTTACCCATATATCTTATTTACCAGAGATTTGGTGCATATGGGCAATTCTCTAGTGTCGAATGTGACATTCGTACGTATGTTAAGTAAAAAACAAAAAAACCAAAACATTTTTTTTTTATTTCGACGAACAGTGAACAAAAATTGTAAGTCGCTTTTTAAATGAACAGTTTAACCTCAGATTTTAGAGAAACCTTAAGAGATAATTTATTACAAACAATGAACGAACACACTTGACTTCGATGGTGTTTATTATACCCGGAACCTATGGGAAATCAGGGTATAATGCTTTTGTTAAAGTGTATGTAACAGGCAGAAGGAGGCGTGGCAGACCCCACAAAGCATATATATTCTAAATCAGGGCGACGAGCAGAGTCGATTTAGCCCTGTCCGTCTATCCGTCTGTCCGTATGTTTGAACGCGTCGATTTCAGAAAATATAAGAGCTAGACTTAATTTTTTTTTTAAATGACCGTATATACAGCGCGGATGTCACTGTAACTAATTTTGAATGATTTTTAATTTTTTTAAATTTGTCAATTATTCAATAGAATGTGCAGATCAAATGCCGAAAGTTTCATTAAATTCGGTTAAATCAATCGTCGTTAAAAAATAACAAATTTGGCCAATTAACAAACGCACGTGCAGCAGCTACAACAGTTTTCCTATACGTGT